AAGGAAGGAAGGAAGGGAGGGAGGGAGGGAGGGACAAGAAAAGAAAAGAAGGAAGGAAAGAAAGAGAAACATGCTACAGGAATGGAGATTATCTCATGTTGACAGAGACACATTTAACCTTTGCATTTGTGATCTGAGGACCTTTTAATTCTATTACAGGATCCTATAGTGAGGTTCTAGGTCATGACTGTGTCAGCTCCAGAGACCACCATGAGGTAGGTGCATTGTAACGCCTCATTAAATGACTGCTGAGGGCCCAAAGGGTGTCTCACTTGCCTTCCCGGCTGGGTGCTGCTGGGAAAATTCCAGTTCATCATGTTCCCAGGGTGTGCTGACAGGTCATAAAGAAACAAATAAACATAATGAGGCAGTCCTGTCTTCATGGGGGGGTCTTTAGTCAATGGGTCAGGTCACCTTCTGTTAGTGGACTAAATGCTCCAATTAAAAGTCAGAAGATGGGCCGGGCATGGTGGCTCACTCCTGTAATCCCAGCACTTTGGGAAGCCAAGGGGGGCAGGTCACTTGAAGTCAAGAGTTCGAGACCAGCCTGAAACCCCATCTCTACAAAAAATACAAAAATTAGCCGGGCATGGTGGCGTGTACCTGTAGTCCCAGCTACTTGGGAGGCTGAGACAGGAGAATCACTTGAACCCAGGAGGCGGAGGTTGCAGTGAGCTGAGATCATGCCACTACACTCCAGCATGGGCAACAGAGCAAGACTCCATCAAAAAAAAAAAAAAGTCAGAAGATGGGTGAGGTGACCTGCACCTATAATCTCAGCTACTTGGGAGACAGAGTTGGGAGAATCACTTAAGCCCAGGAGTTCAGGCCAACCTGGGCAACACAGCAAGACCCTGTTTTTAAAAAAAGTCAGAATTGTCAGATTAGTTAATGAAAAAAAGGCAAGAATAAATGACATGCTCTCTGTAAGAGATGTTCTGTAAATATAAATACACAGGTTGAAAGTAAATGAGTCGAAAAAGATATATCATGCAAATAAAGGAGGAAGGAGCCTGGAGTGGCAATATTAATATCAGGTAAACTAGACTTCAACATAAAGAACATTAGCAGAGATAAAAATGGATTCATTTCATCAGAATGCATCCTACTGAAACAGGAGGACATTATATAGCACAATAAGACAGGCCCAGAGTGCACTAAATATTGCTGTGTATGGTTTCAAAGTGGTTTCAATGTTCTCACACTTATTTTAAAAGCCAGTGGAAATGGGTATTTTTGAAGATTTCTACC